TTGTTGGGAGTGTGAAGATGAGTCCTGTGTGTGAGTGCGCACTGTGGGGGGGGCGGTGAGTGTATCTGTGCTGCTTCCTGTACCCCCACGGTATCTGGGTGCCTGTCCCCAGTCGTGTGTGTGCCGTACCCTATCTATGCTATTTTGTGGGTGTCACGTCTGTATCACGTCGTGGGGGGTGTGTGTGTGTGCAGTCATGTTTATAGTATGTGTATGGATACAGTGTCTGCACTGTATTGTGTATGTGCTACGCATCGCACTGCATGGCCTGTGCCTTGTATGTACATGGCACGTATCTAATCCCTATTCTGTATCACGTGGCTCTGCCATATTATGTGTAGCTTGTCGTGTGTTTATACTGCCCTGTGTCTGCACCTGGGGCTCAGCCTCTTCTGGGGGTAGGGATCAGTGTACCCATTTTGTGCCTACCAGCACCCCAGCTTTGCTGCGTTCCAGCTAAGCACTAGGGAGATGGTGCCCTTGCTCAACCCCCAGTCCCATCCATATAGAAGGGCCTGCAGGGAGCTGCAGCTGCCTCAGTTTCTCCTTCAGGCCTTCTGGAAGGACTGTTAACTCGAGAAGGGAGTTAACAGCTGCACAAGGGATTAGCACTGGCAAAGGGAGCTGGGCCATGGGCCGCAGGAGGAGCTCCGCCAAAGGTGTCCCTGCTGTGGTCACTAGAGGGCGCGATTGTGCTGGCAGTTAGGGGTAGTGTGTCTTGAGGGTGCGAAATTCCAGAAAGTCCACCTGGCTCAGAGAGAGATGTGGGAGAAAGAAGCAAAAGGATACACACGCTAAGCCCCTGGGCCTTCCTTCACCCTCAATCCAGGGCCTTCGGTTTTGAGGCTGAGTTAGGGAGTTGGCGCCATGAGTGCCCATCTGCCCCCCACCCCACTGTATAAGATCTGCATCAAATCCCCACAGAGCTTCTCAGGGGCTTGGTTTTAGGGTCCCTAGGGCTTCTCTTCTCCCTCTCGTTTCCCATTCGCATGAAATAAAAATTAAACGATGCTGCGCAAAGAGATGAAATGTGTGTAGGGGTTGGGGGTTTGTTTTATACTGTTTCCCCCCCAAATCAGAGGGCTTACCAAAAAGTGTGATTTAAAAAAGGGTAAATGTTTTTTTGAGGGGAGGGGGATGTTGTCCCATGGTGGACCTGCCTTCATGACCAAGAACAAATGGACCCACTTCCTAAAATCTCCTGACCATCTCAGAAACCACCTCGTCCAACCCCATTATTCAAAGACAGGGAAACTAAGGCTCCGTGGAGAGGGGCAGAAGCAGACGGCAACACCGGACTCCTGACTCCCAAGGTTTGTTCCACCCCAGCTCCACGTCCTCTAGTCTCGAAAAAACCTTCCTTCTCCAAACCCAGCACCTTCCCAGCTCAGGGCAAAACCCTGTCCTCCCTCCCCGCTGTGGGCGCTCCAGGATGGTCCTGTTCCATCTCAATGATCAGCCGCCCAGGCTCTGCTGTGACCGCACCTTGGGAACGATCTCCATTCCCCACCAGTAAACTCTTCCTCTCTTTCCAGTCTTCAAGGTCCCCCTCCCCCATTTTGCTTCCCGCCTGCAGCCCCAGCCGGATAGCTACGCCATTTTGCGCCTCATCACGTCTCCTGGGTGCAGCACAGATTGCCCCAACCTGCAGATAATTGACCGAATGTGCAAATCAGACATGGATCCATTGTACTGATTAACATTTCCAATTAAACTCTGGGGTAGGCTGCGTGTATTAGTGACTGGAGTAATCACTGCGCCGTATGTAAATGCAAATGCCTTCCAAAGTCCTGGGGCGCGGGAGGAAGCGACACATTTGGGGAGGGAATGGAAACAGACTGCCAGGCCCCGGGGGTTCCTTTGGTTCTCTGGTACCCCTAAATCAGATTTTAAACAGAAGTCTGTTACTTGATCCCAAGGCTCCCACTTCACACCGGAAATGGACGAATCCGGCCCTGCCACCGCTGCGTGCCCTTTCCTGCCCCCTGCTGGATAAGCAGCAGAGCGCCGAGGTGGCAGGGGCGTCCCCTGGGGGCCCTGCAGAGGGAACCGCCTAGCCTCTGGCAGGTGGAGAGCTTGGGGGACAACAGGGCACCCCAGAAGCCTCAACAGCTGCACTTACCTTCTAGGGCAGGGGTTTTCACCATCCCTCACCTGCACGGGGTCCCATTGGCCCCCGGGGAAGGAAGGCATTTTTGGAGCACAGCCAGATACCCCCACGCCTGCAGCAGGGACCCCAGACCTGGCCCTGGCCCTCCCCATGTAAAAATAGTCAACCTACCTGTCTTGGGCGGATTCGAAGCTCCCCTAATCGCCTTTGGGACCCTGCCCCCCTCTTCCTTCTCCTTACCCAGGAGGAAAGAGCCACTGTGGAGTCGGCTATTCACAGAGTTTCTTCTCCTTCCTATGACCAAAGCTACTAGCTCCTGAAGGCAGGTTACACGGATGGAAATGCTATCGAGTCCCTCAATACCAAGAAATTGTCCCCCTAAGTCTGGGCTGAACCACATGTGCCTCGACCACCACCCTTTCCCCATCTCACCAGGGAAAACGGGGCCTTCGAGCTCCTGGTTAAGACCATAGCTTTTCTTCTTCTCTCTATGGCTTTGTTCCTACCTGCTCCATCCGAGCTTACCCGCGTCTACATTTCTAGCCCTGATTTCTTTTTGCCTTGGCCACCCTCTTTGACCTCACAGTAGCTTGTCTCTGACCTCACAATAGCAGAGTCTCTGATGGGGGCAGCACCTCCCATTCCCCCCCCCCCCCGGTATTCCTCATTTTTCTCACTTGTCACGTCTGCTACCCTCTCCCCAAAGACCTCAGCACGTTCGTTTGCTTTGTAAGCCAATTCTGCCTCTAAGCAATCTGCAACCTGTGGTAATGGTCAGAACGCCTTTGGGATGTCGTGGCCCCTTGCCTGCATCCACATCACACGTGAACCTCCCGTTTTCTGTTCAGTCTCTCCCACAAGGCCCACTTGCCTGCCTGGAGGCTTGGAGGGTCCACTCCTTGACATCTCAAGGTCCCTCTGGCCTCAAGATTCTCAGCTGTTGGCTTTTACCCAGCATTCACACCAGTCTCTTCCCATTTTGCCTCTTTCATGGAGTAGGGAGGTATAACATTTGTACCCAGAAGCGGAGGCTTACGTGGCTCTCCCTCTTAGTCATCCATTACCAGATTAAGCCCCTTTACCCAAAGGTGCCCCTGGTTAGGGGCCTCAAGTACCCAATCACAGACCTGCCCAATTGTAATTTTGCAAATGGCCCAGTGAAAACCGCACTGACCTTTATACCTCGGTCATCCCAGAACAGGGCCACAGTGTTGTCACCAACAGGAATGGACCTCCTTCTGTTCCAACACCTCAGACAGCCATACAGTTGGCCTGGATTTGAGTCTGCAAAACCATGGGGGGGGCAAGACTAACATGGCTAAGGGCTTCCCTGCTGAAAGCCATTAAAAAAAAAAAAATAACACTGCAACCACCCCCTTCATGCTTCCCAAAGCCAAGCCACTCACCCTTCTGTCCTTTGCTTCTACAGACCACAGCCTAGAACCCTCAAGTCCAGAGTCTGCCACTGGATTCTGGAAGGTGGGACCAAAAAATCAAGTGGGGCCTCTGGCTCCCTCCCTCCGGGCACCGCCCTCCCACCCCGTCCCTAAACCACCACCTAGGGAAGGAAAGCCTGTGAGGGCAAGATTCTAAAATGTTCAAACCGCCCCGAAGTGTGGCAGTCGTCTCTCCAGAGCCAGTTCACAAACTGAGGGCAAGGCCCCCTGCGTGATGAGGACAGGGTGGGGGGGGCATGGACCTAATGACCCCTAATGACCCTTGCCCCCCTCGACAAAGACAAAGGCCAACTGGGGGACCCCAGGCTTTTTAGAGATAGTACTGCATCATTCCAATCTCCACGTGACAAGAAATGAGTCGTCCTGTCATTACCCTCCCCAGACCAAAAAAGGGGAGGAAGGTAAAGAAAAATAAAAGAAAGGGTGCCCCGTAGAAGAAAATCGTCACTTTTTATGTTTGCTCAGGTTGGGCTTTTCCCCCTCCCCCGGACTTGCCCCGGCCGCGGCCACACCTCCTCTCCCTGGTGGGTTTTTTTTGGGGGGGGTGGGGGCTGCCGTCGCTTCCGTGGCTGGGGGAGGGGGCGGGAAGATGGTGTAAGACTAACAGACTGACGTTGCTTTGGGGGCGGCTTTGGCCTCCAGTGGCCCAGGCCCGAGTCGGCGAGTCTAGGGCTTGCCCCGGCGCCGGGGTCCAGGCCCTCCGAGAGTGGCCCTGACACACCCACTCGTCCGCGTCCGCCCAGCGCGATCGGGCGAACTGAGCGCCGGGTCTGGCGGCTCCGGGGGCGCCACAGAGGGGACCCGAGGCTGGGGCGCCGCAAGAGCAGGAGGGGGACCCCCCCCGGAAAGGCAGAAAATCCGCCCAGCAGCGCCACACCCTCCCCCGAGCAAGCCGGGCGCCGTGAGTCGCGGGATTTACCTGCCACTGGTCCAGCCACCCTGTCCAGACCTTCCCTTTCTACCTCCGAGCGCTCGGGCTGGCGGGGCTGGGGGGGGGGGGGCCGCAGCCGCAGCCGCAGCCCCGGGCCCGGCCCGCTCCCCCCGGCTCTCCTCCCGGCCCCGCACACCTGCTCCGGGCCGGGGAAAGCTGCAGCCCCCCGCGCAAGCCCCCAGACGGTGCGCGGCCGACAGCTGCCCGCCCGCGGCAGAGCCCGGCTCGGCAACCGCTCCCTAGCTCTTGTCTGCTATGACGTCACCCGGGCTCTGCGCCGCACGCGGGCCAATCAGAGAGTGAGCAGAAAACTAAAATCGCCCTGAGTGGGCTGCTGGGGACCAATCTTTTGTTTCCAGGCAGGAAGCGCCCGGGAGGGGGGGAAAAAAAAAACTGAAGGGGAGGGAACAGAGAGAGGGAAAGGAAAAGGAGATGGAAACTTCTACACTGTCGGGGTTGTCTAGACAGAGGTGGGGCCGTCAAGAGAGAGGCGCACCTGACAGTAGGAAGGGGCGGGGGCATTTCATGGATCTTCCTTAACCGCCCCCCCCCCAACCCCGGGAAGACTGGAATTCCGGATAAATTTCCAGCGGAGGGAATCCGTCCAGCTACACGGGCACTCTTTACTGGGGAAAATGGTTTGGATTTGGGACACCACCTGTCAGGCCAACAGGTTACGCTGATGGAGTCTCTGGACTACACAGTAGACTCTGGCAGATATGACAGTGGCATTCAGAGATGACAATCTAGGTAGGGAAACTCTTTCTGCCCGTGAAACACACACTTCAAAACACGGAGCGTTATACTAAATAAATAAATAAACAAACAAACTACTTGAAGTAGTTTAGATACATAGATATATACATACATTTAATTTCATTAAAATGTGGCTCTCCCTAGAACCTTCCCTGGCCTCTCGTCTCTAAGAAAAAGTTCAAATTTTTGCCCGTGTGCAAAGCTTAAAATGTAACTCTGAAAGCTACTCCAAAATCCATACTCCCCAGGATTTGGCTAGATTATATAAATTATGGTAAATCCCAGGAAGGAGACAGTAAGCTGTCATCAAAAGTGACAAAGAATGCAAAATACTAAGGACCTTTGAATTATAATGATGTAAAATACACCCACAGAAATGATCGGAAGAGAACAAAATTACCACAGTCAGATAAAAGTTTATGGATGATTTTCCCTCTCCACTTTCAAACTTATTTTTATGAAGACAAATATATCCTGCCACACTTCAATGATCAAAATGGGTTATGACCCTCCACAGTACACTTTTCTCCAATTTTCTCGACACCCCATAACGTCCAGCCATCATCTCTCCATAATGCTAGCAAAACAAGTTTCACGACAGAGAGTGAACTAATATATATTTGCCAAGTTCCTTTTAGGAAAAGTCACACAACAGGCCTCTAGATTCACAGAGACAACATCTGGGGAAGGTGAGAGAATGGAAAACCTCTTTGGACTAATTCATTTAAAATTACGATCATGCTGGAAGTTGAAAAAAGAACAACGAAGACCCTTCTAATCTAGGATAAGGCAGGAAAGAGGGAGGCAAAGACTAGTAAACTACATACTCCAGATTTTTTAAAGGATCACTTTGCATTTTACTTTTTATTTTCCTTAATTAAAAATATATTTATGCCTACATGACTATAACGTGAACACTGTAGGAAGTCGCAGAGCTGGAATTTGTATCTAGATCTGAGTCCAAGGCCCATGCTTTTTCTAATATGATACATGGTATTATTGGTTTTGTTAAAATATGTATTTGCTTGGAAAAAAAAGAGTATACTAGATTGGTGTTTTTTTTTTTAATCAGGCATTTTTAAATAGCTTTTTGTGTGTGTGCTTGGTGGTTGTCTTCCTAATGTAAAAACACCCCTCACCCTCCTCCTCAAATCTCTGATTAATAGGTTGAAATCACGAGGGTTCTGCTTTCAATGATTTTACAGATATCTTTTTAATTAACTTTGGGGTTAAAGAAAGTAGCCCATCACATTGATTTTTTGTTTTTACATCATGGTAAAAGTAATCTAAAAATCACTGATCTAAATGAATGAACATTTACTTAATGTTACATCTCTGATTTGTAAAATGCACTTATTTGGGTTATTTTAAAGAATAAGAACATTCTTATTTTTTAAGAAATAGATAAAACTGGATTTTTTTTCTGGCTAATGATTTAACTTGTTCTTCTGGGCTACTGATTTAAATTGTAATTAAAAGGTATTTGATTTCACTCTAATCCTCCCATATACCTCAGCTATAACTCAGAGCTATTTATGCAGTCACCGCACACGGTTATTTAAGCATTTCATGTGTGTATTTCTTCTCTCACTGGAGATTATAGAAAGTAGCACGGGGCCAAAATCCTATTAGGTGCCTGACAAATTAAAGCATAGGGTTGTCATAGAAAGAGGACTGGACTTAGGAGCCAGGCCTAGCACAGAAAACTTCGGTGTTCCCATGAAAGGGCAATAACCTATATTCTTCCTTTTTTTTTAAAGAATTATTTATTTATTTGGGGGGGTGTGCCTGCCCTCGTGAGTGGGGTAAGGGACAGAGGGAGAGAATCTTCAAGCAGACTCCCCGCTGAGCACACAGCTGGACTGGGGGGCTCGATCTCAGGACCCATGAGATCATGAACCATGAGATCAAGACCTGAGCCAAAACCCAGAGTCAGACGCTTAACCATCTGAGCCCCCCAGGCGCCCCAATTCTTCTTGATACCATAAAGCAGTCTTTACTGCCAACGCGGTTCGTTCTCCAAGAATATAGGACGACGGCATGGGAACTTTCAGGGAAGCTGAGAATGTCTTAAAGATTTCATCTGTGTAATTTTTCCCACTCAACTCCCACTTCCCCCTGTTTCCTTCTCCAAGCCCATTGATTTAAGGATATAATAACCACACTACTGGAATAACCAGTTGGCATGTGTATCCTGCTTCTCGGGTTACAAACCACTTTCGTACCTCCCTGTTTGATCCTCACAACAACCACAACAGTGTATTGTGGCAAGTACAAACTGCATTCGATAGATGAGCAAATGGACACCCAGGGATTTAAAGTAGCCTGTCCAATGCCTCAGAGAGATCCTAGAAGCCAGCTCTCCTACTCTCAGTTGTGTTGTTCTTTCTTGTTTTGTGTTTGTTGTATTGCTCCTTTGGCTCTCACCAACCCTACCAGCCCCTAGAGTCACCTGAGAAGTGACAGGCCTTGGGATGGGGCTTAGAGCAACAGAAGTAAACTACAACTATCTTCAAAGCCTTCCAGTCAAATCCCAGAGAAAAAAAAGCATTGCTCACTCTCATGTACCACGAATGGAAGTGTAAGATGGCAGAGCCTTTTTGGAGGGCAAACTGGCAATACCTAGGAAATTTGAATTGCGTGTGCCACTTGACCAAGCAATTTCAACTCAAGGAATTTGATTATGGATACACTCATAAAAACACGCCGACATATGTTCGAGTGTGTTTGCTGTTGAATCTTACATAAGAAAGAAACACTCATCATATAAAGGCCAACCTAAATGTCCCTCGATAAGGGAACTGGTAAATAAGATACGGTAGATGCAGATTTTAGAATATTAGACACCAGGGGCGCCTGAGTGGCTCAGTCAGTTAAGCATCTGCCTTTGGCTCAGGTCATGATTTCGGGGTCCCGGGATCTGGCCCCACATCGGGCTCCATGCTCAGCAGGGAGTCTGTTTCTCTCTCTCCCTCTGTGCTCTCTCCCTCTCTCTCAAGTAAATAAAATCTTTAAAAAAGAATATTAGGCACCAGCTAAAAAGAATCAAGTGGATGCTTATGTATTGAAATAGAAAAACGTCTTGACACATTCTTGAGTGAAAAAAGATGCAGAACAGCACGTGTACTATTATTTTATTCTTGTTAAAAAATGTGTGCATGCGTGTTTGTGTTTGTGTGTGTCTTTCAGCTGGAATCATACACACCAAACTGCTAATAGGGTAACTCTGGAAATTAAAAAGGTGAGAAGGAAGACATGTGGGTATGTGTATATGGTGGAGGTCATCAACTGTTTTCTGTATATACTTCCTCATTGTCTGTACATGTTTTTGTAATAAACATACCGAACATGTAAGAACCCTTACAAAGTGAAAACATAGCTTTCTCTGGGATGAAGACAGAAATAAAACAAAACAAACAAACAGAACGAAAAAACTGCTCTCCTGAAAGGGGTCGGAATGCGAGGCCAGACTGAGCCGAGCCATTCCTGGGCAGGCACGGAAGGCGGACATGTACAACCCATTGGGCGAAAGCCGCCTGGATATCGGGGCTCCCTTCCCACCCCTGCCTCAAGTCCTGCAGCCAGAAATCATTCCCCGTGGTGGACTCTGCGTCTTTGTGGCTCTCAGTCTTCACAGCTTTTGCTAAAGCAGCTGCACTTAAAATAAAACAAACACAAAAACAAAAAACTCCCCCTCCTGCTCTGAATACAAAAGAACCCAGCTGGGCAGCTAGTGCAAAAGGCAGTTTGGTTTGTTAGCGGAGAGCACTGTGCCCGCTCCTCCTTCCTTGGGGTCTGCTCACTGCACCTTGTGGCCATCGCTGCAGTCAGATCCGACTGTGCCCCTTCCTTCCTGCCCCCAACTCCCACTCATTAGGGGCTCCAGCTTTCCTGTAGCAGGCAACGTGGTGGGGAGCCTGCTAGGCAAAAAGCAAGGAGCCTCAGAAGTGCCAAAAGGCTCATCCTAGCTCCCTTAAAAACCAGAGGCTGAGGGAAGAGGGAAGCCCATGGCTAGAAAATCACTGTCCTCTCCGGGCTTCAGAGTTCTGGCTGGGGAAGGGGGAGACCCAGATTCCAGTCCAGCTTCTGGTCAGGAAACCCTGAAAGAGACTCAGATTTCCCTGGGCTTTAGCTTTCTCCTCTGAAACTTGACCTGCTATCTCCCTCGACTCTTGTAAGGAGGCAAACAGCTAATGGAACAACAGTGGATTTAACAAATTTCAGAGCTACACACCTCCTTGATAGACTTGATGAGTCTCCGTTTACATACGCTCCCTGTACTG